TAAGGAATTATAGGAAATGCTAACCTGATGTGTAAAATTAAATGCAAAGATTTCACAACACCTTTTCCCGCCAATTTGTTGTATTCATCTTTGAGTTTAGACAGTTTCCATGTGTTCCTAGTTCGGAAGAAGCTCTACACAATGCATGTACGTTTCTAGAAGAGCCTCCTTTTCAAGAACAAGGTGTGGCCCTTTGCTCTTCTTAGGAACTTTCTGTGTCCCTTTTGGAGGTGTTAGTTTCCTGTGCACAGTGAGGTCATTGTTATTTCTAGAATTTCAGCCCATCCTGAGCTCACCCTCACTTGATTTGTTTTGCATGAACTGGAAGTTATGTTATCACTGTCATGTTGCTCTCTTTAAAATTCTGAGAAGCAAAGTTGTCTGTGGAGACAAAAGARTGCTACATGGCCTCAGTGATGAAAAAATTGTAACTTATGTCAAATGAAACATAATTTTCTACAAGCATCAATATACTTCTTTATTGTTTTCTAATAGAGTGTCATTTTAGGCTTTGATGCAACTTTGAAAGTTGCAGTCCATGTTGAACTTCTGCCCTGGAGGCTGCTTAAATATGTCTTTGTAGAAGTGAATGGAGAGTGTGGACAGAAGTAGCCCACATTAATTCTCATCTCTCCATGTGGAGATTGTCTGCATATACAGGAGGAAATATATGATTCTTGTATTTGCTTTAGTTGTTGTGATGGAAAGGCGCTCTTTACTGCTACTGGGACGCCGTGAAATGTTTTGTGCAATGTGTTTGTACATTAACAGCTGGCTCAGGCTTCTACTACCCACTCTTTGTTAGCACCTTCACAACTTGGTAAAAAATTCTGGATGACAGCTGATGTCAACCTTTCCTGTCATTACAGCCTCTGCCAGAGGTGGGTGACATGTCTTGTTATGCCTGTGTGAGAACCCAGACTAAATCACCTGTCTCTCTTCGTGGGTACATGGAAATAGACACAGCAGCTTCTTCCAGCACARTGAGGGAAGACAGACATTTGCTCACAGTGTTTCATACAATGGTTTCGAGGGACTGCTCAAGCTCCTTAGATAATGCAAACTGCTCCCTGCACATGCTAACATATTTCCTTCGGTTATTTCAGACCCTATACTCCTAACATAAACACCCTTGGAGTTTCTACTCCTAAACAAAGAAATGTCTTTGCAGAAATTTTCTTTTTCATTCTAGGTTTTGGGGTGCTTTTTGTTTGGTTGGATAYTTTTTTTCTTTTTTACATTAAGAGAGTTCATGTGGTTTTATTTTTTTTTTACTGTAGCTCTTTTTTGCATGCTAATTATGAATATTTTTAGAAAAACTTTTTTTATTACATGCTAATCAACTTTGTTTATTTGCCCAGGTATTTTTGCATCACTGCAGCACAATATAGTGTTTTAGTGTCACTTTCACTAGTCTGATACTTGCAATATCAAACCTAGAAAATTGTGGTCATGGCCTGTCCAAGTCAGACGTGGAGGACATCAGTGCCATGAGTATATTTTGCTTTGTGAGAACAGATATAAACTATAAGGGTCCTCCCACAGCTTGCTGGAGCTCTGAAAAGAAATAACTAACATAGGATATGAAATCAGTGACTTCACCTAGGCACTGAGTAGCTTGGAATCAACATTAGTATCTACTTCAAGAGCAGAAGTCCTTTTTCACATATTTCCTAAAATTTTACTAACTGAAACCACAATCACTTTGATGGTGTAAGAAATCATAAATTCACACTCCTGATTTTCAGTTTTCAATTTTCTGTTAATATTTTGTCTCTTGAATATTTTAATCCATTTTGTCTCTGCATATCTTCWTATGCCTCCCATATCTCCACTAATCTGTGTAATTTACTAAAAAAACTGCAATCTCAGTGTTAATATTTCATTCATAGTCAAAAGCAGTACAGCAACTTGTGTTGATCCTCCCACAGAATGGCTCATTATTAGTCATTGTCTATTCTGGCTTATTGTTATTTCCACTTTTTAGTTTAGTTTCCATTTTTATTTTTAATAAGTGATAGGATTGCCTTTTATATATTACCCATGGGTCTCTAAGTKTAATGGGATTTATATCTCAAAAGAAGACAACCATATTATCAGCAAAATTCTCATCTCTGCAGTTAAAATAATGTTTCCTTTCTTATTTCTCTGTTTAAAATAATACTCCTTTTGACTCCCCTAGCATGTACTGAATGCTAAAAAGCACTTTTCTAACACTAAATACTCTGAAATGAAAAGTCTTATCCTTCTCTGGTCCTGTTTTTTTTT